GCAAAGGGCGACGTTAAAGAAAGAAAACTTGGTGTGATCTCAATAGCAACGTTTACATCTTGATGTGCAGTGCAAAAGAGTAAATACGGGTACATATGAGAGTGATTGAGTGAGTGAGTGAATATCTTTTTACGTCACTTTTAACCATTTTTCAGCAATACTATGGCGGGGGATACCAGAAATGGTCTTCACACATTGTACCCATGGAGGGAATCGAACCCGGGTCTTCGGCGTGACGAGTGGACGCTTTAACCACTTGGCTACCACAGAGCAGACAGACCCAGCACGCATGACAACATAGTGTTCAATGTTCGACTGCCCAATGATAACGACACTAGTGTTTCAACAAGCAAGGACATGATTCACAGAGTAGACAGACCCAGCAGTGCCAAGTAAACTCATGACAACACAGTATTCAATATTCAACTGCCCAATAGCAACGACACGGCGTATTCACTACTGTTTCAACAAGCAAGTACATGGTTCATGTGACAGGGAAATAGTGTCAAGTGAAACTACACGAACATCAACAGCTCAGATCTGTCAGTGTTAACCAGCTGCTGACTATGTTTCTGTTTTACACTGTGACCGGAGTACTTCATGTGTGTGGTATGTATATCTGTCTTCGAAAATGGCCAACCTTGTGACTGTTTTCTCAAGTAATACGGGATATTCTGTCAGTAATCGTACGTAATGATGACTGGTATTTTTTTGCGTGCAGGTCAGTACATGAACTTATCACGCCAGTTTTTAATATGTTTTATTTTCATATAGCGCCTAGTATCACTCTGTCTAGTTGCTCGCTGGACGCTGAATCACAATCTGATTATTATTACCCTGGATAACCCAAGATGCCTGTAAGGCGTTCGAAGGTTAATAGTCAAATGACTTATCTCACCGGGTAACCAGTTTCTGCTGTACCCAGTTTCGGCAATTTTGAACAAACACACTTACCTCAGGTGAGACCACATGTTAGTATGTGATATGTTAGTATGTTCAGCGTAGTCTAGACCACATGTTAGTATATGATATGTTAGAATGTTCAGCGTAGTGTAGACCACATGTTAGTATATGATATGTTAGTATGTTGAGCGTAGTGTAGATTACATGTTAGTATATGATATGTTAGTATGTTCAGCGTAGTGAAGATCACATGTTAGAATATGATATGTTAGTATGTTCAGCGTAGTGTAGACCACATGTTAGTATATGATATGTTAGTATGTTCAGCGTAGTGTAGATCACATGTTAGTATATGATATGTTAGTATGGTCAGCGTAGTGTAGACCACATGTTAGTATATGATATGTTAGTATGTTCAGCGTAATGTAAACCACATGTTAGTATATGATATGTTAGTATGTTCAGCGTAATGTAGTTCACATGTTAGTATATGATATGTTAGTATGTTCAGCGTAGTGTAGACCACATGTTAGTATATGATATGTTAGTATGTTCAGCGTAGTGTACATCACATGTTAGTATATGACATGTTAGTATGTTCAGCGTAATGTAAAACACATGTTAGTATATGATATGTTAGTATGTTAAGCGTAGTGTAGACCACATGTTAGTATATGATATGTTAGTATGTTCAGCGTAATGTAGATCACATGTTAGTATATGGTATGTTAGTATGTTCAGCTTAGTGTAGATCACATGTCAGTAATGTGTGTAAGATATGTAAGTATAGTGCATACATGTATATGAAGCACTGTGTATGGGATAAATACATATTATACAGTGTAAACAATCATAATAAACCATTTCATAGATACATAACAACAATGTGACAAAAATGAAAAAGAGAAAATATATTAAGAATACAATCGATCGGGTCCATCGAAATCACTTTATTGACTCCCCTAAAAAGAATGTAATTTACATTTTCCGAAAAGTTTACATTAAAAATGCAAAATTGTGTCAGTTTGACAACTCAGCCCACAGAAAATACTATAACTCATGTTCATAAAAGTTCTTTCCTCCTCTTTGTTTGGGAGCTTATATGTGTGTGGTATGTATCTGTCAACTAGGATTATATTGAGCTGACTTCAATAATGTGCTTGAACAATTTTGTCAAATATTAACCTTGTTTCAATGACGAATACTTGTTTTGCGTGCAGGTCTTGCCTCCATAACAACTGGATACCCACACACTGTTACACGTGTTGGCGACGATGTTAACATAACCATGAACCCAGCGAATGTCAGCTTCATATATCACGTATGGGTGAATGGTTCGGTAACTGTGAGACTGTTACTGGTCCTGCCTATGTCACACCGTGTATGGGTACTCAACACCAGTCACACCGGCTACACGACCAGGATCAGATACACCGGGGAGGACTCACTATCACAGACAGGACAGCTGAGGTTTACCATCTACAATGTTACTGTACAGGACGCTGGTACTTACTACTGTCAAGGAACCAATGGACAGACAGTTACTGGATGTAGACAGGTCCTCGTTGTAGCACGTGAGTAGGATATGAGATTAACAGAATATTATTTGAAGAATAATGTTGGACTGTCTTAATGTATCTCCAACATCAATAAATAGCTGTTCAATCTTCTATTTCAGTAGAAGAACTTTAGGTTAGGTGAAATGGGGGGGGGTTAGATTATTGTGTATATGGCGACATGGATCCGTGTGTGTGTGTGTATGTATGTGTGTGTATGTGCGTGCGCGCGTGCGTATGTGTGTTTGCGTGTGTATGCTTGTGTGTGTGTTGTATGCATGTGTGTGTTTGTATATGAACTATGCTTGTTCACCGACAAAGAAGCAGTGGCGAAGTTTAACATGGATGAGTGTATCCGATTTGTTGTGACGCACCTGGTAGTGACGCCGTCGACCCTCCTCTCTATGGAAAGTACATTTAACTCGTTTCAGTAGAGGCAGCCAGTAGTTGTGTGGTAACTTTCATATATAATCAACAAAACGGTTAGGAGTATTAGGATCCAGCCAACATGTATTCCCTGCTGTAACTGTGGACTGACTGACTGACTGTGGAACACTGAGTGAGTGAGTGAATGAGTGAGTTTTTTAGCAATATTCCAGCAATATCATGATAGGTGACATCAGAAATGGGCTTCACTAATTGTTCCCATGTGGGGAATCAAACCCGGGTCTTCAACGTGACGAGTGAATGCACTAACGATTTAACATTTGATAGATAATAATGATGAATAGTATATAAATACAAGTATGAAAGCTTTCAGCAAAATCTTGTTCAATGGCAGTCGTGCTAAGGTCTCAGCACATTTGTTATATTTGTTCACAGAGAAGCCTACCACACCCACCGTTACCGGACCTGCCTCACCTGTATCAGGTGAGAATGTCATCCTGACATGCTCCTCCTCCTCCCGGAGTCTACCCCCGGACCATCCCCGACTGACCATGACCTACATCTGGAGGAGGGACAGGACCCGGGTAGAATCTGGTGATGAGTATCCTACAGGTGGAGATGACCTGACAATAACCCACATCAGCAGAGAGAACCAGGGAGACATCTACAGCTGCCAGGCTGTGGAGGAGGGCCTGAAGTCTAACTGGAGTCACGGACATGTACTGGATGTTCTCTGTGAGTTAGACCTTACCTTGTTTACGGCATAAGAACCTCGTATATCTTATCTTTGAATCTGTGCTTCTGAGTGATAGTTTTGTCACAACCTTCTTTGCTGAAGTACTGTGCTCTGTGTAAACAGAACAGAAATGATTATTGTAAAAGTTCGAATAGGAAATATAAGCAGGTCTGATTTAATTATCAATTCAAAGTTTTAGAGTTTCAGTTTCCCGGCACTGTAAGCTCACCTGGATATGTTGTCAAGAGTAGTACATATAAACAGAGTGAGTGAGTGAGTTACAACGGTGTTCAAGTTGTAGTCTGTACTTATTGTGGGAGGAAAGCATAAACTGATACGAGTCTGAGACGTTTACCATTTTGTGAATCCCAGGAACACAGGCCAAGCCAAGCAACATGTCTTCATTCATCATGTATGTCACAGAAGCAAACTGCACTTATATGTAAGAAAAAACATCCGTTCTTAGATGACCATCTCACATGCATTCCAGATGGACCTGACAAGATACAGTTTGACGGCACAAGTGACAAGCTGGAGGTAGAAGAAGGGAAGCCTGTAACAGTGAGATGTTCTGCTGACTGTAACCCTGCCTGTACTGTAACCTGGTGGAACATCTCCAGACAGACGGTGATTACAGGACAGAGGGAGGCTGTGTTGTCTATACCAGCTGTAGATGTATCTGTGTCTGGACTGTACACGTGTCACGTCAACAACACACATGGGAGTGCATCACGGAACCTGACGCTGGACGTCTCCCGTAAGTCAACACTTCAGTAACAGAATCTGTTATATACAACCTATTGTTGGGGATGACGCCTGTTGGGACGGCCCCCTTTTCGTACTCCTGATCGTGCTGGAACACCTGCTTGAACACCTGCTAGAACACCCAGAGATTTAAAATAATCAAATACCCTTTAGATGGCACTCCATGATTAAAAATAATTAACCATTTGAAGCAGTAATATTGATGAAGAATTTAATTTTCACTATGATCTAAATGGATTATCACTCCAATGATTCTTAACTTTCAGATTCTCCCAAAATCCCAAATGTTTCCATTAATTCGAAAGATCAATTAGAAACCAAGGCCCTACAGAATACAGTGCTCCTGAATATAATTTGACACTTTTCGTTAGATATTTCCGTTTCTTCACCCTGCACAAATGAGAACACTGATGTTACCGACGTTGCATGTCCTCCTGTGGAGCTGATGTTGACAATGACGTTGTTGTTGGGGATGTACAGCGTACCTCATCAATCACTTACAAAGCGTAGCACGGAAAGGTTATTCAGATGGACATCGCAAGTGTCAACCAATATGTTTTGAATCAGGTTAAAACCTCCCGAAGAGGCTTGATGTTACATGATTTTACTCGTATGCATACTGTACTGAATATCGTCTATATTAAATGTTTCAGTACGTGAAGATACTGAATCTGGTGCCATTTCCATCGTCCCCGAGGCTGCTGTCTGTTCCGTCCTCATCGTGGTCATCGCCGTTGTCGTCATCGTTGTTGTTTGTAGAAAACAGAGACGTGGAGGTAATACGGTGTGATGTGAGAGTGAATGACGATAACCGAGAGTCACGTAAAGTTGTCTCTCTCAGAAGCAATCCGTTTTTATTGCTGGTCAGTATATATACACCTATACAAACGTTAAGCAATAGCAAGGCCAATGCTTTCAAATGAACAGTCACACGATGATAGTGCATAAGAAAGATAGACACGTTCCTTTATGTGAGTGAGTCTGGTTTTATGTCGCTTTTAGCAATATTTCCCCAATATCATGGTGAGGGACACCAGAAATTGGCTTCACACATTGTACCCAAGTGTGGCATCGAACCCGGGTCTTCGGCGTGACGAGCAGACTCTTTAACCGCTAGTCTACCCCACCGTCCCTTCCTATATATCTACACATGTACTGATTTATATATGACAGTGTGGGACAACGCTTTGGGTGAGGTAGGCGGGGAGGGCGGGGTTGGATGGTTACTCCCACAACTGATGTATACCAATACTGACCAGCAAAAGAAACGCAATTCAAGAAATCGAAACTCATACTGAATTTCGATTCGTCTGAAAAGATGACATCATCCCACCTTCATTGTCCAGAACAGAACAGAACTTTTATTCCGCTCAGGCTGGGGTACTCGACATAACAGGTACAAATAAATATACAGTTGAGAATACATAGGATGGCGGGATGGTTTACAAGGAAGTTTATACAGTTTTCATGACAGTACTACAAAATCTACACAGTTGTTTTAAAACACTAATTCGTTTACAGTTTAACAGTTCGTTAAATCTTAAAACATTGGGTTTTTTCAACATAATGGTTTGGGATATAAGTTTTCCTATGATGTTTAAAGAAAGGGCAGAGAAAAATGTAATGAAATTCATCGCCAACATCACACGTGTAGCAGAGGTTACACATTCCTTCTTCGACTGGTATTTACTTCTATATGTAAATGGTGGCAGGAAGTTCTAAACAAGAGAAATTTAAGAGCCAAGGAGGAATGGATATATGTGAGATATTTATCAAAGACAAGTTCAGATTTGAATACGCGATACATGGTACCCTTAGAAGAATTCGAAATCTCTGAGCGCAATGTTTGGGTTGCTATATCTTCTAAGCCTAAGGAGATAATAGTTTTAATTTTCACTATGATCTGATGGCATTATCACTCCAATGATTCTTAACTTTCAGATTCTCAAAAAATCCCAAATGTTTCCGTTAATTCGAAAAATTGAATTAGATATTTTTGGTTGACTTACCCAGCACATACTATAGCCTGTTTCATTTAAAACGGCTTCCACGGATTTAATCTATTTTTGGTTGCTATTGTTTATGCAGGCTTCATTATATAACATTTGGTACACATTTGTTGACAGCTTTTGTTCTTTACCAGATAGGAGTCTAGCCCAGAAATATACCATGCGACATTTGATAGAGTTATTTAGGGGTACCCTTCCAAGGTCTCCATATAGCATTATAATGGCGTGCTTCTCTTAAGGGGAAGGAATTCTATAGATTTATAGTTTTCAAAACCCCTTATTTCGCAGCCGTATAACAGAATTGGCTTAACCATGGTTATTGTCACCCAACGGCGCCGTTCCAGTCGATGTCTGTTGGTGAGGATGGGTCCACGGTAAGGTCGACGGCAATGTAAGCCTGCCGCTAGGAGTCGTCTGCGCACAGTTCTCTCGCTGATAGGGCGCCCCATAGACCCAGTCACAGCATTAGCAGTGCTTACTGCCGCCTGTAGACGGCTCCGGAGGTGCTGAAGTTGGATTATCCGTCCTGTCTTTGTGACGTCACACTGGGGCGTACCGGAACGGGGGCGATCAGAAACGCTGCCAGTTGCCATTACTAACCGTTGCTGCAGACGAGTTATTGTCGAAGGGTGCACCTGAAAATACCGGTCTACATGAACTTGTCGAACTGCAGCATTCAGCATGCCTATTGCTTGGTGTCTCTCCATGTCACTTACACGTGGCATGTTGCTGTGAAATGCGTGTGTCATGCATTTCATCCTTGCTTGTTTCTCCCTAAAAATGGATTCGAACACCATCCTACATGGTGAATGCTTTATCCTCACCACATCATACTTGTGTTAAAGTATCAAAACCAAACTCATGCTGAAAAAGTACAATTTTCATGAATTCTGAGTTGCGTGTTTATTGCTGGTCAGTAGATATACACCTATACAAACGTTAAGCAATACTAATATGTTTTTAGATGTGATGTCTTGATTATAACTATTCTTTAAGGAAGTAACTATTCTTTAAGGAAGTAAATGCGGGGAAATTGAATCTGAGACCAGCCTTTAAGGAAGAGTTTATAGTGAGTGAATGTGAGCAATATCACGATGGGGGACACCCGAAATGGGCTTCAGGCATTGTACCCATGTGGGGAATCGAACTCAGGTGTTCGGCGTGAAGAGTTTATACCCTTAAGAGACACTATTATTGAGATCATATGCAAAACCTTCCACACCCATAAATAGAGTGAAAACTAAATATCTATGTTATAAGCTTACATGAGAAGTTAGATGTAAATAACTGAAAACTGGGTAGCTATTTACTTGACGTCTCCTTTCCTGTGTATGTTTCAGTCCAACATTTCATTTCTCTTATATAACCATCAAGATACATTTGAACAGCCTGAGAACAGGCATTTGTTCTTAATGAACCTTCTTATATTTCGTTCCGCCTAACCCTAACTGTAATGGAAAAAGTCTTAAATAAAGCATGCCCTGGGTTTCCAGAGGTTCGGGTATCACCTATCTATAAAAGAAAGACATTTGCTCTAAAAACTGTCATATATCGTTCTACCAATTTCTAATAACTTATGTCTACTTCAAAGGTATGCAATTATACGAGCAATTCGTTAAGCATATATTTTTCAGCTAACATTTTGCATTTACTTATCTACACAATTATAACTTTCAGATAGAGGATACCCTCATAACCGGTGAGTAGCTGCTATCCAGATGGTAAGGCACATGTGTAAACAGTTGGCTGTATCTGCTATCCAGATAGTAAGGCTATTGGGTAAACAGTAGGCAGTATCTGCAATCCTTCAAGGCTGTTGGGTAAACAGTTGGCAGTATCTGCAATCCTTCAAGGCTGTTGGGTAAACGTACGGTTGGCAGTATTTGCTATCCTTCAAGGCTATTGGGTAAAGAGTTGGCAGTATCTGCTATCCTTCAAGGCTATTGGGTAAACAGTTGGCAGTATCTGCTATCCTTCAAGGCTATCGGGTAAACAGTTGGCAGTATCTGCTATCCTTCAAGGCTATTGGGTAAACAGTTGGCAGTACCTGCTATCCTTCAAGGCTATTGGGTAAACAGTTGGCACTATGTGCTATCCTTCAAGGATATTGGGTAAACAGTTGGCAGTATCTGCTATCCTTCAAGGCTATTGGGTAAACAGTTGGCACTATGTGCTATCCTTCAAGGATATTGGGTAAACAGTTGGCAGTATCTGCTATCCTTCGAGGCTGTTGGGTAAACAGTTGGCAGTATCTGCTATCCTTCAAGGCTATTGGGTAAACAGTTGGCAGTATCTGCTATCCTTCAAGGCTACTGGGTAAACAGTTGGCACTATGTGCTATCCTTCAAGGAGTTTGGGTAAACAGTTGGCAGTATCTGCTATCCTTCAAGGCTATTGTGTAAAGAGTTGGCAGTACCTGCTATCCTTCAAGGCTATTGGGTAAACAGTTGGCACTATGTGCTATCCTTCAAGGATATTGGGTAAACAGTTGGCAGTATCTGCTATCCTTCGAGGCTGTTGGGTAAACAGTTGGCAGTATCTGCTATCCTTCAAGGCTATTGGGTTAACAGTTGGCAGTATCTGATATCCAGATAGTAAGGATATTGGGTAAACAGTTGGCAGTATCTGCTATCCTTCAAGACTATTGGGAAAACAGTTGGCAGTATCTGCAATCCTTCAAGGCTATTGGGTAAACAGTTGGCAGTATCTGCTATCCAGATGGTAAGGCTATTGGGTAAACAGTTGGCAGTATCTGCTGTCCAGATGGTAGGGCTATTGGGTAAACAGTTGGCAGTATCTGCAATCCTTTAAGGCCGTTGGGTAAACAGTACTAGTTGGCAGTATCTGCAATCCTTCAAGGCTATTGGGTAAACAGTAGTAGTTGGCAGTATCTGCAATCCTTCAAGGCTGTTGGGGAAACAGTACTAGTTGGCCGTATCTGCAATCCTTCAAGGCTGTTGGGTAAACAGTTCTAGTTGGCAGTATCTGCAATCCTTCAAGGCTGTTGGGTACACAGTACTAGTTGGCTGTATCTGCAATCCTTCAAGGCTATTGGGTAAACAGTTCATCACCAACACAATTTGACTGGCTATATCACTAATCAATAGATGTGTGATATCGAGCACAATCTAAATCAATGGCGCACAGTCAATGAGCTGCTGGATAGTTATTACTCTTCCAGGCAAATGTTTCAAGGGCGTGAACTACCTGTATTTTCGTGAACAGCTGGTGTCGTCACTGATTTTCTCAGTGGTTCATTCATATCATTTTGACAGCTATTTTGTGATTTGCAACACTTTTATTTGTTTTCATAAATATTCCTTGATTCCAAGCACTTTCTACATTTCTTTTCCCCCAGCGTTGTCACATACATCCTTGACGCAGAAACAGACGGGGGCTACCAGGAGATAGAAGGTTGGTGCTGTACGTCATCGTAGACCCTTAAACGTCACATACATTAGTTCAGATAAACAGGTCATAGCGAAGTATTAAATGGGCAATGTTATGTACCATGTCTAAAACAGTCTTGCAATTTTAGCTGTCAACATAGAAAAACTAAAGGCCTATCAAAACTATTAGCTCGGAGTGACCTTGGGCGTTGGGGTAGCCCAGTGGTTAAAGCGTTAAAGTCGAAGGCCCGGGTTCGATTCCTGACATGGGATCAATGTGTCAGGCCCATTTCTTGTGTCCCCTGTCGTGATATTGCTGTAACATGGCTAAAAGTCGCGAAAAACCCAACTCACTCACTCACTGACTGACCTTCTATTCAAACTTGTATCGGATGCTGTCCATACGGTGCTAGATCAGTGCACTATATTCAAACATGTACGGATATGTGATCGTTGCACAATAATACAGGCATCTGTGATTAACCTTGCAGTTTGTATGCATAATTAACTGCTGAACATTGTCACTTTCAGAGAGAGGATACGTTCATCAGCGGTGAGTATCTTCATCAATCTTCAAGTAGGATGAATAAATATTTCATCTCACACAGTGATATATAGCTGAAGATCTGATATAGAATTGATCCTCAGCAACCCATGGTTGTCGTAAAAGTTGACCAACGGGATCGGGTGGTCAGGCTCGCTGACTTGGTTGACTCATATCATCGTATCCCAATTGCGTAGATCGATGCTTATGCTGTTGAGCACTGGATTGTCTGGTCCAGACTCGATTATTTACAGACCGCCGCTATATAGCTGGAATATTGCTGAGTGCGGCGTCAAACAACAAACAAACCGACATAGCTATCAGAGCAAAACTATGCACGATTCGGAGCGATGTGAATTGAGAGTGTGTCACAGCTTTATAACTTCCTTTCATTTTACTCAAGTTTAATACTCATTTTTATCAGCTTGGTTTCGTATCACAGGGAAGACGAAAACGACGGGAGCTACCAGGAAATAGAAGGTTGGTGTCTAAAGGTTAACTACAAGCATGATGTGTAACGGCTGTGAAACTCGAACTGTGAGTGTATGGTACTGATATGTCGATTGAATGTAGCTCGAAGTATCTCCCGTCTGAAGCCCAGAAGCCTGGAATAGGAGTCGTGTCTAAAACCTATATACATTGGCTATAAGTCAAATCGTCAAGGTTACGGTGTAATATTTCAAGGAAAGGGAAAAATACCGATTATATGATTTAAAATACGCATCATAGAATAGTTAATATACTGTAAATAAACATTTCTTAAGTCAAATTCGTTTATATTATATATATGATACTTATGATACTTTTTAATTTCCATGTACATAACCAGGATTCGGTGATATGCCATGTTGGGGAAACAGATCCACTGGCTTGGACAGCTGTAACGGTTATACTTCCCGTCATACATCAAGAATGAATCTTCAATCTTCATTGCTTGCTTCCTTTGTTGCGTTATGCGATGTAGACAGGGTTCCAGTAGCGTATAAAGAATCGTAGTTTCTTTGACAAAGTAGACACAAATAGTATTTCCTCCTAATGTCTTAAAACCAGTATCCATGCACTGAAAGGAATAAGGAATATTAACGACGAATCTTTTACGTTTCAAATACGATGTAGACAGGACTCTTTTAGCTTATAAAAAGGTTCGATGTTTCATTAAAAAAAGACACACAAAACCCCCCAGAACTTCCTCTATTTCCTCCTCATGTTTTAAAACCAATATATGCATTAAAACGAACAAGGCATATTAACAGAACATTTCTTATCATTCAAATACGTCTCTGCGTTCTCATATAAATTACCATACTAATTACATATGTGTTAACTGTGTTTTATATCAGAAGGTGATGCAAACATAGACGACATCGTCCCCATCGTAGCTGTCTACTCCATTATGCTCACTGCCGTGGCAGTTGTGGTGGCAGCAATTACTGTTCTTGTCTGCAAGGACGTAAAAGGTACGATTAATATATGAATCTTTTTGAATGCAATGTAAGTTTCAATCCCTCCTCAGGTCAGAGCTGGTCTTCTACAACCTATTTGCAAGCTCGTCATAACAGGTGAGAAACGCTGGCTGATTATGGCCGTGCATGTATACCCCCGTTTCCCAATTTCGTAAATAGATGCTCATTATATCAATCACTGGGTTTTCTTGACAAGTCTTGATTATTTCAGACAATCGTAATATAGCTGGAATATTGGTGAATGCAGCGTTAAACAGCAAACAGGCATGTCTGTAGTTCACCTTCATATGCTGAAATCTTTTTTTTTCCATTATATTTTGTAAACGCTGTTTTGATTCAGTAATTTGGGCAGTCGGGGGCCAAGTGGTTAAGGCGATCACGCCAAAGACCTAGGTTCGATTCCCCACATGGGTACAATGTGTGAAGCCCTATTTATGGTGTTCTGGTTTTGGTGATATTGATGGACTGTGCTAACAGCGACTCAGTCACTAACTGTTATTCAGTAAATGGAAACGTGGACGAATCTTTCCGTTTAGAAATTTACAAGTTTGTCTTTTTCTTTATTTGCAGAAAACCAGGGCAGAAGGTACATAAGTTTATTGTTTCACCTTAAGTGCTGGAGTTAGGTATGGTTATAACCAGTTAACAAACCCTCATATATGTGCCCAGTTGCAATCTCCTGTGTTAAACACCATTTACTCAACTTAACCCAGAAAACTAGACCCTAACTGAATAAACGAAGCCCGTATAGATTATCTGTGGAAATGACGGAGAAAGTAGCTATTGGATCTATGTAACAAATGTACGATGTGTTAAGAGAGGATTGCAATTTATGATCACTGTCTTTTTTAGGATTTCCAATCCATTTATGATTTCTGTTCCACGCTGCATGAAAGCAAAATACATACACTTCTGTGCAAGACAACTTTATGTGCAATGCAAGTGTAATGTTGTAATTACAGATGTAGTGAATATCTTACTGTGATGGCAGAGAGATTGTCCCGTGACTTGAGTGATGTACCTTGTGCTTCCAACAACGGCGGGGATGTCTTACCCCTACATGATTACGAGCGACTCCTGAGGGAACAGTTTCACATCTACACGTCTCTCCACCCTTCAACTTCCTAACTGAGGACCACAGCACCAGATGAAGCCAAAACTGACGGTACAGTTCCTCATCTACGTCTCTCCACTCTTCATCGTCCTCCATCGAGGACCACAGTACTAGGGCTTCCACGGGTACTCGAGTACTCGAGGACGAGTCGGGTCTAGCTGGACTCGAGTCCATTTTCAAGGACTCGAGGACTCGAAGAGGGGAGATAACTCGGATTATTTGACGTTGACAGACTGTCTGCCATGTGCTAAGCATGAGCGGCCGTTAACGTCTAATATTAAAGGTCACATGCAACCAAAATATCAAACATAATTAAAACACAATTATCACTTATTCATGACATATAATATGCATTGCTGGTAATGAAAAAACATATAAACAAAATTATAAGCGTACAATCGCAAATCAAAAGTGCAAAATTGTGTACTTCGGTTTACTTCCCAAGGAACGAAGCAGCCGGGATACCGAACCCAGTCAGAGCGGGTGGGTGTGCACTCAAGTGTAACGGCTGGTTCATTTGCAGATGCCTTCTCGGCTCATTGTGTGTGTATATATAGAGATGTTGGGTTTTGTAAATACATGCTCATTTTTTGTGTATAACATTTTGCAATCAACAGACATCATAACATGTCATGTGTTCAAGTATCACACCTGCCTGTCTGTGTAATTACATAATGTGCATAAATCAATGCGTTTTGTTTATGGTGTATAGCCTGATTGGTGTTAAGTTCAAATTGCATGTGGTCAGTGATAGCAGCTGTGTATTGAATATTGTCAGACAGGCAGGCAGACACACAGGTGTCAATAAAACAAGACATTGAGTTTTGTCTGTGACAACGACATATCTATATCACAGTTAGAAATTCTGTACAACGCTAAATAATGACATTGCTTTTAAGTATCGAACTGAGAAAGTGACTCGGTAAGAAGAACGTGTGGTTAAATAGACAAATGAAATTATATAAACAGTTAATTTACTGTCATAACATATAAAAAGCTCGCGCCTGTGAGATATCAACAAAACATTAGAAAAATAGCTCACACCAAAGCCTTCACCGAGTATTCACCCGACAACCCGCTTCCAAGCTGCGCGAACCTATTTCACTGCGCACGTGCTATGAGCGCAGCCCAGCTGTTGAAACCCGTTTTCCCCAGAAAAGTCGGGGGGAAAATTAGTGAAACGTTTGAACTCCGATTTCGCGCGTTTTTTTTCATCGCGTTATTTTTCAACTTTATAAGCTGAATTTGCATTTTTGACGATTTGTTTTGGTAAGTCCATACCGAAAGGTATCAGAATCTGCAAAGTTGTGTTTTACGTTGCATGTGACCTTTTAAGATAAGATATAACTTTATTATCCCGGAGGAAATTCTTATACATCCAAACTGTCTCAAAATGAATATATACACAGTTCACAAAAATATACACAATAATTACATGCTCAAAACGAATGCTATTTACAAATAAAACTGACATGATATAATTCAATTAACCACATAGGTAAAGAGCCTGAATAATTCTAGTTCTAATCACATGATGGTGATTCAAAATATTTGTTGCATTCACGAATACTTAATGGTATGAAAGACTGTCGAGCTCTGTTTGTTTTGAGGGAAGGTAATCGACAGCAGCGTCCAGAAGGAAGTAGTTCAAAATGGTGAGATCAAATGTATCAACTATCAAATCTAATTTTAGCTGCCTTTTTGACAATCTGGCGCTCATAGATAAAGGGAGTATACTCGAAAGACACTCCAGAAACTTTGCAAGCAGTATTAACAATTTTGAAAAGTTTGTTTTTGTTGCGATGAGACAGATCCCCATACCAACATAGAAAATTGTAGGTCAACACACTTTGAATAAAGGTTTGTTAAAAAAAACTGTCATTACGGTTTTGTCAATGCCTTCACGATAATAATGTTCAGAATCAGAAATTAGGCCAGTAACAGTGGCGTCATCTGCAAATTTCACAGTAACAAGTTATATATTGACAAGTAACAGTCATCGGTATACAAAACGAAGAGTACGGATGAAGGAACACAGCCATGTGGATCTCCAGTAGAGGTTGAGAGAAAGGAAGATTGATAGCCATTTACACTGACATACTGAGTTCTATGTACCCTGAATTCTTTAACCCATCTGATAATGTTTTTATTAACACCTTAGATTACATAGTTTACTCCTCACACGGTTTGGCTGTATGGTATTATTTGTTACAAGTCTGCAGATGAGAGTAAATATTATACATCGTTTGAGATTTCACTTCTTAAAATGATTAGACTATCTTGACAACTGATAGACATGGAGAAAGATAAAAACTCAAATGTATGGGCGTATCTTGATCTGGATAGTGAAAAGAGCAAAATAACCTAATGCCGCCTGTGCGGTATCTCACTGCGTTTTGCAGGCAGTACAAGAAGTACGAAGAAAAAAAAAAAATTTGTTAAGTAAACATCCAATTACTTATTCTGACCAATAGGAAATGTTAGTCACACGACGATATGTAGTCGGAAAGAAGTAAGTGTTCACTTGTGTGATCGGAACACATGTCATGCAATTTACGCTATCGTTTGCTTGAAAGGTATGAATTTCGAGTACTCGGGTCCGAGTCGAGTCTCACCCCTCGAGTACTCGAGTCCAAAAAAATGGACTCGTTGAAGCCCTACACAGTACCAGGTGAAGCCTATACTGACGATACTGTTCCTCATCTACACGTCTCTCAACCCTTCATCGTCCCCCACAGAAGTCTAATCTGACGGTACAGTTCCTCATCTACACGACTCTCCACCCGTCATCATCCCCCCACAGAGGACCACAGTACCAGGTGAAGCCTAATGTGACGGTACAGTTCTTCATCTACACGTCTCTCCACCCTTCATCGTCACCCAAAGAGTACCACAGTACCAGGTGAAGCCTAATGTGACGGTACAGTTCCTCATCTACACGTCTCTCCACCCTTCATTCTCCTCTACAGAGGACCACGACACCAGTAGGGCATGAACTGATGGTACAGTTCCTCATCTATACGTCTCTCCACCCTTCATCGTCCCCAACAGACGACCACGGGACCACAGTAATGGGTGCAGCCTCAAGTGAGGCAACAGTTTATGCAGGCGATATTGTCTTCGTACCTTTCTACAGACGATATTGTGTTGATAGTTTTATGCAGACGATGTTTTCTTTTTCTCTGTAGGCTGACCATATTGACTTTATAGCTTTATGCTGACGATATTTTCTTTGTCTTTTAATGCAAACGATATTTTCTTTGTCATTTTATGCAGGCGATATTTTCTTTGTCATTTTATGCAGACGGTATTTTCTCTGTCGTTTTATGCAGACAATATTTTCTTTGTTGTTGTATGCAGACTATATTTTCTTTGTCACTTTATGCAGACGATATTTTCTTTGTCGCTTTATACAGACGATATTTTCTTTGTCTTTTAATGCAGACAATATTTTCTTTTTGTCACTTTATGCAGACGATATTTTATTTGTCGCTTTTGGCAGATGATATTTTCTTTGTCACTTTATGCAGACGATATTTTCTTTGTCGCTTTATGAAGACGATATTTTCTTTGTCGCGTTATGGAGATGATATTTACTTTGTCACTTTATGCAGACGACATTTTCTTTGTTGCTTTATGCAGATGATGTTTTCTTTATCACTTTATGCAGATGATATTTTCTTTGTCGCTTTATGCAGACGATATTTTATATGTCGCGTTATGCAGATGATATTTTAATTCTCACTTTATGCACACGATATTTTCTTTGTCACTTTATGCAGATGATGTTTTCTTTGTCACTTGATGCATATGATATTTTCTTTGTCGCTTTATGCAGACGATATTTTATAGGTCGCGTTATGCAGATGATATTTTGTTTCTCACTTTATGCACACGATATTTAATTTGTCAATTTATGCAGATGATATTTACTTTGTCTCTTTATGCAGATGATATTTTCTTTGTCACTTTATGCAGACGATATTTTCCTTGTCACTTTATGCAGACGATATTATCGTTGTCACCTGATGCTGACGATATTTTCTTTGTCACTTTATGCAAGTGATATTGTCTTTGTACTTCCAGACGAACAATCCTTACATCCCTACAATGTATGTAAGACTGTGTACCTCGCTGGTGTGATAGTGGCTAATATTGATTACTGTTAAACAGACATTTGTAATAGCATGTTAATATAACATTCTAAGGTTTCTAAATATTATAATCTTATCGTAAAGCTTTTTTTTCTTTTGTTAGTGTACAGTTAGTTATGTAGGTGAGTCTAGGTGTAGATGAACGGATATTTTGGTATCGATGAAAAAGAGTGGCTTTACTTTGTATTATATGTTATCTGATGTTGTGTTTCGACATCCTAATAAACTTATTATTATGATTATATTTTGTCTTCTTCTTGCATTGATCCTTTTTCGTACACCTTACCAGGAACATATGATTGTGTGCTCAAACCCCAAAATGGTTGCATTTTCATTCAGTTGTTCACCCCACAAGCGTTTGAGTGAGTGAGTTAAAAGTTTACATAAGATGGGCAATAGTGCAGCCATTTCGCGATGAGAATAATTTAGGTATAAATTCTATTCAAGTCCCACTATTCATAAGTCTAATATGGTCATGTCAATTGTCAATCCATATACTGTTATAAAACCTATCTATTTATATACACAGTTCAATGAATCTTAGAGATTCAGTCCTATGCCAATAATATCATATTTACTTTTCGCATATTTTGTAAATTAACTTATTGTCTTATTCATTTAATATACACATGTATGTATCGCTCTGTAATCCTGAAATGTAGGCATATGGCCTCCACTACAAAAGAAATAAAGTTTGAAGATATTATCATTGCATATTTTTGGACAAAATACAGTAAAACAGTGAGGTGCGTATCACAGTTTAGTTTAACCACAACGTCGACCACATGATTGTTCTGCCCAACATTGTTACTTATGCCACTATCGTGCACGTGCATTTTGACCAATGTCCAACAATTACT